TATGGTGAGCACTGTGAATTGTGCAAGACTGTTGAATCACAGATCTGTACCTCTGAAACAAATAATGCAATATATGTTAAGAAAAAAAAAAAGAAGAAGAAGAAGATAGAAGGAGGGGAAGAATGAAGGGGGAGTAAATCGGAGCGGGAGACGAACCATGAGAGACGATGGACTCTGAAAAACAAACTGAGGGTTCTGGAGGGGAGGGGGTGGGGGGATGGGTTAGCCTGATGGTGGGTATTAGAGAGGGCACGTTCTGCATAGAGCACTGGGTTTTATGCACAATGAATCATGGAACACTACATCAAAAACTAATGATATAATGTATGGTGATTAACATAACAATAAAAAATTTAAAAAAAATTTTTTTTCCTTGTCTTTCATCATTTTCTTCTTACCACCTTTCAGAGTCCTCCTTTGGTTGACATTATTTTCAGGGTTTATGGCTGTGCTTAGCAGGGAAGAGCAGGGAAAAACTGACCTATGCCATTGTGTCTGAACCAGAAGTCTCAAATTTCTAAACGCTATGAGTTTGCAATATCTACCATAACTGTTATCTGTGAGGTGTGTTCCACCAGCTAGAAGGCTAGCATCTCAGCACATATATTTCTAATGGCCACATTCTGCAGAGCAGGGCATAAGGCAAGCAGGCACTGGTGGAAGGGAATTAGGAGGATTTGTGGTCAGAAGGCATCAAAGTGGTTCAGTCCAGCTGCTAGTTTCTTCCTAAAGAGGGGCAACAGTCCTCCAGGAGCAGGTGCCAAGACTCCTCCAGCATGTATGTTGAACCAGCATGAGCCATATTTTCTCTGGACCCTCTGGGGGTAATAACCAGAGTATGAAATCTAGAAACACGCAAGTGCATGAAGAACACATGTTTTTAGGCCAATCTGCAGACTAACATGCAGACCCTTAGGTAAAGATACAAATTTAGCCAATTTCTTGGTAATATCAATAGAAAGTAAAATATCAAAGAGTTTCATTTGAAAAAAGAAAGAAAATATTCCTACCTGTTCTGAGGACATTTCACCAAATAATGCCTCGCTGTAAAAAGAAAAGAAATAGAAGATGGTAAATAAATGTTACTTTAGATATATATGCTCCAGGAATCCCCAGGAAATGTAGGTGCCCAGGCATTGCCCAGATGTTGGTACAAGCCTCTTCTTGGGGCTTTCATACTTCTCTTTGGATGAGTAGAGCAGAACCACAGCACAGACGCCACATTGACTCGCTACTGTTCCACACCTAGATTGAGCCAGGCATGAAACCATACACCCCAGACCTCCTAGTTTGATAACCCAAAACAGTCATTCTTTTTTCTTCCAAGCCAGGTTAAGGTGGGTTCTAACCTGGAAGGTCCTGGAGTAACAGTCACCCAACTTCGAAGCTCTGCCTTAGTCACGAGAAAGACTTTGGGGACAACCTGTTTCCACTTAGATGCTCCTCTCTGTAAACTGGCTTTTTGTTCTCTGATCAATGCTCTTCCAGGGGGGCCCTTGGAAAAACAGTCTTAGAGCAAGACATCCTCCACAGTAGGTCTCATTGAGAAAAAAAAAAAAAAAAAAAACCAGATTCTAGCAGCAGAGGAAAAATAAGAATACCTAGGCAGTTATCCTAATAAGTATCCAATCTAAGCTCACAACTGAGTTCACTTCAAATAGAAGTAAAGCCATGGGCCACGGAGTTGGGTTGTGGATCATTACATCGATGGCCCCAACGAATCACACCTCCCTGTGTCTATCTACAGCCCCGTGAAACTCCAGCCCCACACTGGGCTCGGCCGCCAGATGTGCTTTGGCCAATGAAACAATAACGAATATGTCCCAAGCAAAGGCATAACAGGTCCCTGTGCTCTGAGGTTTGCTCATTTGCTCTTTCTCTCATTGCAGGGAACTCTTCTGCTACCGCATAAAGAAGCCTGGCTAGCCTACTGGGAGATGAGACCACATCGAACAGAAGCAAGTCATCCCAGCTGAGGCCCCAAAGCAGCCAGGCCCCAGCTGATCCACCAGCAGGCTGCAGCTGCGGGAGCGACTCCAGCGAAGACCAGAAGAAATGTTCAGCTAAGCCCCGCTGAAATCGCTGACCTACAGAATTGTGAGCAAATAAAATCATTGTTGTTTTAAGCTACTACACTTGCAGTGATCTGTCCTGCAGGTGACCAGGGCAGGCTCCAGACCAGCATGACAGAGTCTCAGCTGGAGAGAGGGCTTTTTGGGTTTACCTGTTACAACCCCTTATTAGTGCATAAACTCTTTCTGCATCCTGTTTACTAAGCACCTACTCTGTGCTGGATAATTTACAGATGTAGCGATAATAAAACCATAATTAGTATTTACTGAACACTTCATATGTTCCTGGCCTGACTCTAGGCTTATTAAATAGATCAGTGATCATTTGTCTGGGGTTTGCAAACCAGTGGGCACTCCTAGGAAGGGCAGTTTTAAGGAAATCAGTTTCTAGATCCTCACCTAGCATGGTGTTCTTTCCTCAGAATTCATTCTCCCAAAACATGCCTGAGCTCTAGCTGTATCTTTTTCCCTCCCTTCCCCATCACAGCACTGTTTCTCTCCACAAAATCGAGGCACACCTCTTGCCCATCCTGACTTATACTATGGAGGTAAAAAATAGGAGGCACCAAATGAGAAATGATTTGAAATGCTGGGGCCAGTGTTGAGAAAGCAAATGACTAATGACTGGGCAACTAAACCTTTCACCAGCAGAGAGGTTTCCAATATTTTGCTTTCAACAAGGATTAAATAATGACCTAATCCAGTTGTCAGCCGGTCGAGTATTAAAAATCATTTTCAATGATAGATCATATACCCTTGCATGAATCTGCTTAATAACAGAATTCAGCATCATTTCTATTCTTAGTAATAGAGTTCAGCATCAATTCCATACTTTAAAAAGTAGGAATAGAAATGATGCTGAATTCCGTTATTAAGCAGATTCATGCAAGGGTATACGAAGTAAAATGAAAATTTATTTTAATAAAAATACATTTCCAACAAAATGTTCTTCTTATGATTGATTATCCGAACTGATAATATCTATGGAGTTTTGATTAGTTTTATAGTCATTTTCCAAATCTTACTAATTGTGCACTATTAATAACTCAATACAGAAAAAAATGTAATACCTAGAAACTTATGGAATAAGGAAATTTAAATTTTCTTAATTTAAATTTGCACACACATTATTTTTACAGAGAACGGTAAACAAAAAAATTGTATTAAAGTGGGATAAAATTTGGTGGGGGAAGTAGATTGAAGATAAAATTTCAAGGAGAAAAAGGAACAATATACAATTTCTAACAGCTAAAACATGTTCATAGAGTCTTTTTATTTATTTTTTATAAAGATTTTTATTTATTTATTCATGAGAGACACAGAGAGAGAGAGAGGCAGAGGGAGAAGCAGGTTCCCAAGGAGCAGGGAGCCCGATGCGGGACTCGATCCCAGGACCCTGGGATCATGACCTGAGCCGAAGGCAGATGCTTAACCATCTGAGCCACCCAGGCGCCCTACAGAGTCTTTTTAAATAAAGAGAGGTAGTTACTAAATTCATGACATTTAGATGTGAAAGAGATTTAACCATTTCATTTTAAGATGTCAATATTTGTGATGCCCTGGAAATTACCACCTTTGCAACAATTTACATTTATGATGAAAAAGTTTAGACATCAACAAAAAATGTTCAAGGTGCATAGTTTTTGAAATGCTTTTAGTTGCTATGCAAGAAAAACTGTTTGAAGACCACAACTTTGCATTTGAATTCAATCTTCACAAAAACTTTGTCATTGCACCTAATTCTACGGTGGAGGGCACTGAGGCACAGAGAGATTAATGACCTTGACTAAGGTCACACAGCGGTGTTATGGGCTGAGCTGTGTCCCTCTTATGTTGAAGACCTAAAACCCAACGCCTCAGAATGTGACTTAGTTGGAGATGAGGCCTTTAAACAGGTGATTCAGTTAAGATGAGGTCACTGGGGTGGGCCCTAATCCAACATGACTGATGTCCTTCTAAGAAAAAATTAGGAAACAGACAAGTGCAGAGGAAAGACCAGGTGAAGACACAGGGAGAGGACAGCCACCCAGAAGCTTTACTACGGCAGCCCAAGCAAACTAACACACACCTAGGAAGGGACAAAACTGGGCAGCCTGACTCCAGAGCCCTCTTGTAACTACTCCTTACCATTCTCAGAGATACTGGGGGGCTGGTATTAGCGCTCCTATAGACGCAGACAATAAGTCTCAGGAGAAATGGCTGGCCCACTGTGCCACAGCTGGGCAGGGCAGAGCCGGGGCTAGAGTCCTAGAGAATCCATGCACTGACCTGTATTTTGGGAAATCCAGTCCAGGGGCAGTGAGGTGAGCAGCCTGGAGATCAGGAAGCCAGGGAGCAGGAGGGCAGGCCATAGGGGAGGGGGCTGACTCAGAAAGACCAGGAGCCCAGTGAGGATGGTCAGTGCCGGGCACAACATATGCACCTCAGCCAACACTTGCTGACCGATGTTTATAAGGTCTCAGACTGGTAAACACAGGGCCGATGTCCCTTTAATGAGGGACTGCCCAGGGAACCAAAAGTAATCCTGGATACCAAACATTAAGACTTACGTGCATCTGAGAAATAGCCCTTGCCCAGAGTCACCTTTAAATATATGTAACCTAATCAGTGCTGACTCCAGAGCTAGGGCTGCCCGAGAAGCAGAGCCTGTAAGACAAGCATTTCAGTACAAAGAGTCTATGTGGGACTCGATCCCAGCAAATCCACTGGAGACGGGGGGAAGTGAGACCAGGAAAAGAAGGAAGCCAATAAAGGGGGGTCCTGGAGCCAGTCTCCATCGTGAGCCATGACCTCCCACCCAGCATACTTGACCCAGAGGCTCCTGGCTCCACACAACGCAACCGTACTGCACAGAAATGAGAACTCAGGACACACTTCTTTTTCAATGGTGATCTTAGGATCTTTAGGACTTTAAAGACTAAAAGGAAGGACTGCTTTTCTCACCTCCAGGCCCTGGGGCTACCCTTTCTCTGCCTCCTCAGCCAGGGCGACACTGCTCCCAGCCCCCAACTCATGGCCAAACCTTCCAGATGACCTGTCCAGGCTGAAGACTGTGTCCTCTCCATCTGGGCCTGTCTCTGTCACCATTACCACCCCCAGACGGGTGACTTGGAGTGGAGGTAGCCATGCTCCCCCATCCTCTCAGGCCCTGGAGCAGTGTTGGGGCCTCAAGGTATAGCGGACCCTCCCCGGTCTTTCCCCTAACTTGCCTGCATCCTCTCCAGACCCCAAGCCTTGCAGAGACCCTGAGATAGGACCCATGGATATTTCTGCTCTGTTCCCCAAGCATCTCCCACACTGTGCCAACACTGCGACAGCCCCTGCAAAAGGTCCCGTGCGTTTGCAGAAGGAGCCAGAATGACTGAGCACGGTGCTCTCCCGGCCTCCTCCCCAGCACCGGCAGGGAGCCCAGGGGCCTGGAAAAGGACCATTTGCACTTCCCTGGGGGGAGAGATAAGACCAGGGGTGTGCCCCACTTCCCATCAGCCCTTCCCTTTACACAGAACTGGGCTCCCGTCATGTCACATCCAAAACCCCAGGCCCTCCAGGAAGCAGCCCTGCCTTGACGGTGCTTCCGGTGCCAACACTAGGACAGGTGAAGCCATTTCTCCGGGTCACCAAGTGGTAAGCTGAGAAGGAGAATGGGGTTTCCCATCACCTGTTCTCTTGCTACAGAGAGCCATTTCATGGCCACACGAAAAGCACCGATGGAAAGCAGCAGCACATAAAGTTGTGTGTCTAGAGACTTGTCCTATATGGAAGTCGTGGGCCCCAGGCTGGCACTCGAAATACACCTAGTCCCAAATGAGAAGTGCTGGAAGTATGAAATCATGCTGGATTTAACAAAGGAATGTAAAATATCTCATTCAGAATCTCTCTATTGATATTGTCGAAATGCTATTTTAGATACAGTGAGTTAAATAAAAGAGATTGGTTTTTTTTTTTTTTTTACCTTTTTACCTTGTTAATGTGACTACTACAAAAATGTCCAATGACATACGTGGCTTGCAGTGTATCTCTACTGGGGACAGTGCGTGGGGGAGCTCTGCTTGCCCTTGCTGCCGGGATGGCTCATCCCACAGTCACCATGACCGTGATGGAAGGATGTGGTTTGGACAGTGAGCTGCACCCGGGAGAAGGTGCTCCCTGGAACTGCCCACACCAAGGACCGGCACACCACACTGGGCAAAGCATCCCCAGTGGATGTACGAGTAAGAGAAACTCTTAACCCCATTTTACAGTGAGGACACTTGGGGATGCAGAACGTTTACTCGGGGCCTGAAAAGACCCACTCTGTAAGTAAAGGAGCTTGGATCCACGCTCCAGGTCCCGTGCTCTCCACACTACGCTCCTGGGGAGGCTGACAAGCACCAGCACAGGGAGGGTGGGCCCGCTTCCCAAGGCGGCAGTGGGCCCACGAGAGCCAGCCAACCTTCCCACACGTTCTGAAGACCAAGTCTGCATCTCAGAAGTGTGTGGTGAGGAGAGCTCATGCTAGGGATTGTCCAAGCGTCTGTGACACCAGGCAGGTGAGCCCATCAACTTCCCCAAGGCCCCAGGGTCTCCCCTCTGCTCCTCATCCACAGCCACCCCACTCCCTGCACTGAGCCTCCTTCCTACACTGAGCCTCCTCCCTGCACTGAGTATGGCCGTGACAGACTCCTTCTTCCCTGTACCTCTGGGAGTAAAGATCATAGGCTCTTTGGCCCCATCGCCATGGGGAAGCATGGAGAACAAGCTTGCAGCAGGGGAACACGGGGGTCTAGCAAGCTCCAGGAAGCCCTGGCTCCAGTGCGAGGGTTCTAGCACAGCACGTGCAAGCTAGACTGACATCTCACAGACACAAAGAGTAGCGACAAAGGAGCTAAGCCCCTCTCCTTCCACCTGGTTCTAGTGTGCCTTCAAACTGCCCTTGTAAGAGCTCAGACAGGGAAGGTTGGGGGATTGCTGGGGTCCCCTCAAAGCAGCGAGTCTGGACTCATTCCCAAACAAGTGAAGGCCACTGGAAAGCAGTGTGCTTGAGGAATAACTCAGGGCTTGGTCCTGGGCCACCAGGACTGGTGTTTTCCAGGGTGACTCAGAGCCGCAGAGGCCCTGGGACAAAGTTCCAGGCACCCCGGGACTAACAGCCAGGACGAAGACTCCCAGCTCGGGAGAAAGTGGAAAGCAAGTAACACATGGGTGCAATTAGCTCCAGCTCAGGTGAATAATGAGCACCCCAGGAAAACAAGGCACAACAAGGCCGGGGTGAAGGCAGAGCAGTGGGAATGAAGAGAGAGAAGGACGCTGGTCCCTGGCCCCCCAGCTTCCGGGCTGGGCTTTGTTTACCTCAACACCCTCCAGGGGATCGCTTCAGGAATGGAGATGGCTGCTCCAATATCCTCTTTGAAGACAGATCCTGCTGAAGGAGCGGGAGAGCAGGTGTGGGGCTCACCTCCGCTTTCCCTGTGTATGTGAGCAGCCTACAGACCTGGATGCTCTGTGCTTCTTACATAGGCAAGAGAGCTTGGCTTTCCTCCAGGTGGCCAGGATGCAGAAGGCCCAACCCACACATAGTGACAGAAAACCCAGAAAATGTCCATATAACAAGCGGGTCTGGGCCTGATTGTATTTCTGTGGGTACAGGAAGCATATCTCATCTCTGAGTTTCCTTTCAAGATAGTAATGGGATCCTTTCAAAATATAACAAAGATGGGTACAGAGTAGGAGAGAGTTCAGAAGAACCGGCTGTAAGGCCTTGCCACTCAAAATGTGGCCTCACACCAACAGTGGTGGCCCCACCATGATCTCATGAGACGTACCAAATCAGAATCTTCATTTGAGCATGCTTCCCAGTGAACAGTCTGCTCCTTAAGGGTCGGGCGGCGCTGTGCAAAGGCTCTGGGGTCCAGGTGAGGGGTAACCCCGGGCCCATCATGCACAGTCCTCTGTCCCCAGTCCTGTGGTGGCTGGGAGGTGCCTGGCTGCTAGCACCCCATGGGGCAGGACCTGCCCAGCCTGGGCTACGAATGCCAGCCTGCTGGAATAAAGCCAAGCTCCCTAGGGGCTACAGGAGCTATGCTTGCTGTTTGGGAAGGACCTTGGCAGCAACCACCATGGAAGGCTGAAGGAAAATTCCTTGGCAAGGCTGGCTCCCAGATGGTGAAGGTTTCCTTGAACAGAAATTTCCTCGGAATCAGGCTGGGCTTGGGCTCCGGCACGCCCATTTCAGGACTTTCTCAAGCTCCTCAGCTGTGTCCTCTTGCAAACGGGAGCAATAGGGACTGTCATTCCAGACTGGCAGTGAGGATTACACAAGAACGTGGAGGAGCCAGTGAGCAGTGTGGCCCTCAGCAGGTGTCCCGGCGAAGCTCTTGAAAGCTCAGTCGGGTTTTGCGATACTGTATGCAGGTGCACACGAGTCTGTCTGGGCCCGCTCCAGGAGGGACAAGGACGACTGGGATCTGGGTTCTCAGCGGCTGTGTGTGAGGCCTGGAGTATGGGTCTCAGTCGGCCTCGTTGGCTCTGGGGGAGATGGATGTCTCCTGAACTAACTCCTTTGCTTTGATTCCCCCACCCTGCCTACGAACTAACAGAGCCTCCAGCTCAAGGCACACTTCCCTGCCATGCTCCTGAACCCAGGCAGAGGTGCCTTCGGGTCAAAACAGGCTTGGAGACTGCTTATGTGGCTTCCAAACTCCAACAGTTGGGAGCAAAGCAGCTGGGAAACAAACACATTTGTCCCCCATCTGTTGGGAATTTGTCATAAGCCAAATTCCAAGGAGAGTGGACCAGATGACAGGCCTGCGCCTTCCTCGCTATTCTCCTGAAGGGGGCGAATGCATCTGCACATGTGCACCTCGTCCCACAATCTCACAGGCATAGGCAAGGGCTTGCAATGGGAGACAAGCTTGGGCACTCTTGACAAGGTAGGCAGATGCTGCAGAGGAAGGCTCTCAGGCAGAGCACAGAGGCCGCCCGGAGCACTGTGGGAAGGGTATGGGCCCTGCAAGATCCGCCACAGACCGGGCTCTGTCTGCAGCACTGAGTGTGCTGGGTGTCTCCGTGCCCTCTCCACCCTGACGGGCCCGGATGGCTGACCTCCCTCCACACGCTGCCCTCTGGCTCCTGGTTGGTGAGAGCCAAGCAAAGACAGCAGGACATCCAGAGGACAGGGGAGAAGGAAGGGCTGAGGAATGAATGTTCCGGTTCCCTCCCTGCTGCCTCCTGGGCTGGCATTGCCCGGGTCTCTCCTCTAAGGCTCCTGCTGGTGACACTTCTCCCACAGCGGCAGCTCTCGCAAGTTCCCAGAGCCTCTCCTGTCCTCGTCTCCTAACCCTGCGATGCCAACAGCTTGCTGCGGGCTGGTCCCTGAGCACACCCCCTCCCTCCCTCCGGGGTTCCCTGCGCCCTGCCTGCTCCTTGGTGGAGAGGCCCTCCAGAAGCACTGCTCCGTCTCCCTGTTCGAGTGTTCCCTTATGCTGTGACTGCCAAATCTAACACTTCCCAGCTCTGTGACCTCAGGCTGATGTGTAACTCTAACCTCATGTCATCGTACACGCAGGACCCTTACAAGAGTCAGAATGTGTTAAAGGTTTTGGGGTTGCTGTTGTTGTTGAACTTTATCCTCTCAATAATCCCATGAGACTGGGACACTAGCGCTTTCCCGTTACTTAGATGGGAAGGGTGAGGCTCCGCGGGTAGGTCATCAGCTGGTAAGTGAAGAGCAGCCATCTGAACCATAGACGGTCTAATTCCAGAGCTCAGCTGTCATCCACGTCATCTCGGGGAGCTCCCGCGCCCGCACCTGCTTTGGGAATGCAGAAGGGGGGCGGGGAGGGTATTTCAGAGGAAATGTACAGGCTCTGGTGGAAAAGAGACACTGAGGCTTGCTGTGGGGTGGGGGCTGAGAGGGAAAGCAGGCAGCCTGCATAGGGAGGTGAGAGTCGGAATCCCCAGAACTGTAATCATGAAAAGAGAAAGAGCAGAGCAGGACGGGGCTGAGGACAGATCTAGGGCGACAGGGATACCGACAGGAAAGGAGATGGAAGTGACCCCTCTGGGTGGGTGGAGCCTTCCTGACCCTGCCTGCCTGCCTGCCTGGCGCCACGCTGGTACTGTAAGTAAATAATGAACACTCATAAGCACGTGCAATCTGAGGAAGGGCAGGGTCCACCCCAGTTCGTTTCATAGATGAGGACCTTGAAGTCCAGGGTGGCTAAGGAACACGTCTAAAATCAGTCTTCTGCGGCAGAGCCCAAATCAAAACCAGGTTCATCTGACTCCACAGCCCCGTCTGGGCGAATGAGAGGTAAGCCGCCCCCCGCTGCCCCCAGAGACCGCAGAAGGATGGGATTTGAGAAAAAGAGAAATTTCAACGTGGGCACAGCTGATTTTAGCAGAATCCAAGGGAGACACATCTCCTCACTCGCTGTACTCACCAGTCACAGGGACATAATCCCTGACTCACGATGCATTTTTCAAACAAGGTTATACTTTCCCCAGCATCTTCCGCCTGTCTGTGGTTCGGCTGTGCTCCCACTCCAGACATGACTTATTGGTTCTCTTACCTCTGGCTCTCCTCTTGCTAAATACAGACTGCCAGATGATGGTCAGGGTGAAGAGGACGACACTGAGGATCCCCACACAGCACACGAGCACAGCATATATGTAGAGATCTGAAGGCAAGGACACAGTGGGGCGTTGTCAGGGCGAGCCACATCGGAGGAGAGGTACCAAGTAAGATAAACCTCATACATTACCGAAAATTAACTCAAAATAAACCACAAGCTTAAGTAAAAAATATAAACTTTGGGGGAAAATATAGGAGAAAAATCTTTGGGATCTAGGATTAAGCAAAGAATTTATTTTTATAAATATATTTTTTAAGGACTTTATTTGTCAGAGAGAGAGAGAGCACAAGAGCACAAGCAGGGGGAGTGGCAGGCAGAGGGAGAAACAGGCTCCCTGCTGAGCAAGGAGCCCAACTCAGGACTCGATCCCTGCACCTGAGCCGAAGGCAGATGCTTTTTTTTTTTTTAAGATTTTATTTATTTACTTGAGAGAGAGAGAATGAGAGATAGAGATCACGAGAGGGAAGAGGGTCAGAGGGAGACGCAGACTCCCTGCTGAGCAGGGAGCCCAATGTGGGACTCGATCCCGAGACTCCAGGATCATGACCTGAGCCGAAGGCAGTCGCTTAACCAACTGAGCCAGCCAGGCGCCCCGAAGGCAGATGCTTAACTGACTGAGCCACCCAGGCTCCATAAGCAGATATTTTTTTATACTTGACACTGAAAGCATCATCCATATAAAGAAAACTTGATCAATTTGATTTCATCAAAATTAAAAGCTTTTGTTTTGGAAACACCCATAAGAAGAAAATGAAAAGACAAGCTACAGACTGGGAGGAAATATTTGTAACTGTATATCCAACAAAGGACTAGTTTGTAAAATATAAAGAAATTTCAAAACTTAACAGTAAAAAAATAGACAACCAATCCTACTAGAAAATGAGCGGAAACAGAGATATTTCACTAAAGAGAATATACAGGTGGCAAATAAGTTCACGAGAAGATGTTCAACCTCCTTAGCCATTTGAGAAATGCAAATTTAAACCACACTGAGATATCTCACACACCCATCAGAACAAATAAAATAAAAAATAGTGACAATACCAAATACCAGGAAGGATATGAGTAAACTGGGTCACTCGGCATTGCTGGTGAGAATATAAAATGGTACAGCCACCCCAGAAAACAGTTTCTTAAAAGATACATCTACAAATACCCTTCAACTCAGCAACTGCACTCTGGGGCATTTGTCCCAGAGAAATGAAAACTTCAGTTCACACAAAATAGCAGCTTTATTTACAGTAGCCCGAAACTGGAAACTGCCCAGATGTCCTTCAGGAGGTGAATGGCTCAACCAACTGTGGTCCATACACACCATGGAATACTACTTAGTGATGCAGCAATCTGGAACTTCCAAACAATGATGCTAAGTGTGTATGTGGGGGGAGAGGTGGGAAGAGCTCCCAGAAGGCTATATACTGTATGACTTTATTTACATAACGTTCTTGAAATGACAAAATTACAGAAACGGAGAACAGATTAGTGATTGCCAGAGGTTAAAGAGGGAGTAGCTGATGGGAGGAACATGGGTTTGGCTATAAAAAACCCTTGTGGGGATGGGAATGTTCTGTATCTTGGCTGTATCAATGTCAACATCCTGGTTACCATGTTGTACTAGAGTTTTGCAAGACGTTACAATTGGGAGAAATTGGGTTAAGGGCACAAATGGGTACAAGGGATCCCTGTAACATTTCTCAGAAATACATGTTAATCTACAACTCCCAATAATTTTTCTAAGTTAAACCATGATCATATATGTCTCAGTCAATTTGGGCTGCAATAACCAAATACCATCGACAGAGCAGTTTAAACAATAAACATATTCTTCTCACAGGAGCAAGGTGCTGGCAGAACCGGTATCTGGTAGGAGTTCTCTTCCTGGTTTGGGGACATTTTCTCTCAGTATCCTCACATGGCAGAGAACAGAGAGAGACCAAGCAAGCTCTTACGGGGTCTCGTCTTATAAGGGCAAATAATCCCATTCATGAGGGCTCCACTCTCATGACATAATCACTTCCCAAAGGCCCCACCTCCTAATAAAGTCATATTAGGGGTTAGGATTTCAACATATGAATTGGGGGGGGACATCAACCTTGAGCCCATAACAACATACATCCATTTCTTAAACTCCAATGATCAACCTCATCACCAGTCTGATTGGTAAAATGCCGACTGCTCAGAAAGGGAAAGGGAAGCCAAACGCCTTATTTTATCCTTTTCTGCAGCAAAAAGCTACAGATGTTTGAGCTTAGCAAAAATGTTTTTCTACTGACTTAAATTTCTTGAACCAACAGGCAGTTCTTATCAGCCATGTTCAGCACTCTCCTAAGTACAAGAAATATAACAATGGATATTTAAAAGTCTCATCAAGAAATCAGAGAGCAGTATGGCATTTGCGACAACAGAAGTGTGCGCCCAGTACTAGAAACACACAGAGAAGGAACTCAACTGGCCTGAGGAGGTCACAAGGAGCTTCAAAGAGGACTGGGGCTCTGTGCTGAGTCATATTTAAAAAAACACAGAAAATGCAAAAATATATAGAAAGAATAAAAACAGAGAGAAACAGAGTGAAAAAAATGTATCAGATTAATATAAGTGGCTTCATGGGACCTTATTACTGGCCACTCAAAGTGTTTCTAACTGCTCCCTACAATAAATGAGTATGATGAGCATTCACAAACTCAAAGCTTAATGCACCTCTCATATTAGGTTTTTAAGATGAAGTCCCTAAAAGTGCAATTGCTGAGTCAACAGGAATGCACCTTTGTAAAGCCCTTGGGACCTGGAGAAGCAGTTAGTTAAGTGTCCAAACGGAAAAAGCAGCATGCTGGGAGCGGCAGGGGGGCTGGCTTCCACAGTGAGCTAGAGAGGCAGGTGAGGATGCAGTCAATGAGAGAGGAAGAGGGCGGATGGGATAGAATCAGACATCTCAGGTTCCTTTCAACTCTCTCTTCTCTGGCTCACACCCCAGGAGGCTCAGTGTAGTCTCTGACCCAGAGTCCACGAGGTCCTCCCATGGTCTTAGGCTCAGTGAACATTTTTGCCTAAGTTAGTCTGAGAAGGCTTCTGTTCATGGAACTTAGGAGCCCGAATTAAACGTAAAAGAAGTAGAAAGCACAGTAGGATAAGGCTGCAGGTGAAGGGAACGCCTGCCCTAATATTTAAGGGAGGAGGAAGGTGGGTAGGAAGAGTCTGCTACAGAGAGAGCTGGGAGTCAGTCACAGAAGCAGAGGAAGACTGAAGTTCAGAGTTCTAGAAGCCAAGAGAGTAGATGTTGTAAGAAAGATTCTTTAATAGCATCAAGTGCTGCCGGAAAACATCCACTGGGTTTTCCTGCTCAGAAGCTACTGGAAAAGTCCTGGGGGAGAGCCAATTCTGTGGGATGGTGGGGGCCGAGCCAGATTACAGGGGTCGAGGAGTTCAGTGGCATGTGTGGAGTTTGAGACAGCGGAAACCCTCTCCTACAACAAAAATCAAAACTCCCCTTCTGTCTCAGACACGTGGGCTTTGCAGATTCACCTGGTGAGAGCTCTGAATGGTCAGAGCTAGGGGCTTGGGTCTCCATTTAAACAACAAAACTCTGAGAGCTAGAACAGGGGTCACAGACCGGGATTCGTGACAGGACACGGCATGGGCCAGAACGCAGAGAACATAGGGCCAGTCCCGGATTTACATGCAGTTGAGCAAACTGCTCCGGGACCAGAATTGCGTAGCCATTTCTGGCAAATAATGCAGTCCCATTGCCAGGCACGCAGACTGGGGCTCGAGGACACAACATCTGCCTCCAAGGGACTCCAAAGATGCTGGTCCCAGGACCAAAACAGCAAGGGCCATCTGGCTTCAGTCTCATTCTTCGTTGGAGAGACAAACCGTCTCACTGAATGAAGTTTCTGGACCACTGGAGCAGAGCAGTGTCCTCCACGAGCTCCCTCCTCATTGGAGCCCTTTCCTTGGTTTGGAAACTGTGGCAATCAAGCAGGGACAAGGTCGCGGTGCGAATCTCCCACGAGCGTCCCCAGAAGCACACGGTAGGCATCTGGGGCCCGCTGTGCCCCGGCAGGAGGCGAGGGGCTTCGAGAGGTCCACGCTCTGGTTTCAGATCACAGCCTCTACCACGTGGCACAGAGGGGGCTCTCCACAGGCAGCCCCAGCTGCAGACCATAAAACATCTGGCCAGTCCGGAAGGCTCAGCTACACGGCCAAGCACACAGGCTCACAGGCTGGGGACACTGGCCGGCAGGCACCAGCTGCCTGTGTGCGCCTCCCCACAGGCCTGGGAGCAACTGCGCCTGCTCTCTGTTGTGTTCCTGAAGCTACAGGAACCTGAGCAAGGGTCACCTTGCCGGAGGAGAAAAGCTCAAACAGAACTTCTGAGTTTCTCCGGATGGGGCAGCACCCAGGACCCCAACGTTCCAATTTTTTCCCTCTGTTCCGAGAGTTCCTTTTGCTGCATAAAGACAATTGCCCTGTTTTAGCTGCTCAAAACACTGAAACCACCTCCCCCGATTTCTCTGCAAACAGAGGTAGAACACTGAGCCATTTAAGCCGGGGTCAGAAACACCTAGATCGAGCCCTGCCTTGCCGCCGGGCGAGCCCTAGAGTAAAGCTGCGCTCTGCCCAGCAGAGGCGGCCGCGACTCTGCTCCAGAGAGCTGTCCTCCGCCTGGAAGCCGGCCCCATGCTGCCTTATCTCCGCCCCTCCCTCAACCTCCTTGCACACACCTCTCTAATTATAAATGTTGGCTCAAAGGTTTAAAACTCAGACCACACCGGGCCAAACAATGCTTGTCTGGAGGCTGAATCCAAGCCTTCAGATCCAAATTGAACAAAAACCTCTGCACTTAACCCAATCTGGGGTTAGTTTTTAAAACACCTCATATACCTGCACCCTCAAAATCATTCTAAAAATCTTGTTATCTTCCTCAAACTCATGTGCAGCTTTGTCTTCTGCCATCGGACTTCCAAAGGCACCAATGTCACTTTTAGGCTCGGCTGCAAGCCGCCATGCAGAAAATGTTACCCCCCACCACCCCAGCCACCCCAGCAGCCCCAGCCCAGGCCTCCCTGAAGCAGATGGCCGGGCGGCAGGCTGGAGTGACACTCATGCGGCAGGGAGGCCAAGACGGGGGCGGGGGGGCGGCACAGTGAGCTTGTGTCAGCTCCCCACTCCAGAACACCAGGCCCACCACAGGGCAGGCCCGGCAGAGAGGCCCCACGATAGGCAGGCAGCACCTGTTGCTGGGCAACCCGGAGGCCAGCTGGGATATTCCGCGCTGCTTGGAAGCCGGGTGGCCCCAGCATGCCTCCGCACACTGAAGGAAGCAACTCTCCCAGCCCAGTGACTCGAGAAAGTCCATGTCAGTCCTCTACTCTTCCAGGGAAAATGCAAACACCAGGATCTCAGATCTACGTGACAAACTGCAGGCTTCTTTTTTTTTTTTTTAAATCCAGCTTGTAGTGTCATCTTGCTCGGGGAGAAATACCTGAGCAATAGTCCTGAGGGATTTTAACTCACTCCAGCATTTCACCAAGAGGCCCGACAATGCTGGGTTTTGTGCCGCGGGCGTGTGGTCAGCTGAGCGGAGCCCCAGGGGGACGGCCATCCCTCCGCAGGCCCTGCTGCAGCTGTCCCATCCAGGAACAAAAGGGCAAAGGCCCGGGATCAGGCGCCAGGGAGTTTCATCCGTACCCCTGACCTCGCCGACACCGTGGCTGGGTTAAGAAAGCAAAACACACGGCCACTGCTGCCGGAATCCCGGGGAAAGAACGCTCTGGAAACAGCTGCTCTGAGGCATTAGACATAGTGAGGACTCCAATTCTTTTCTGAAGGGACCTAAGTCTCTGTGTTGAGAAGTAAGCCCACATTGGGCTACGGATTTTGTGTAGAGAGCCAGGTCGAGAGTGACCCTGATAGTCGACAGCTACATGTGAAGTATAAACCACTATTAATTATACACTTGTTTTAGACATGCTGATGATGCTGCAAGGCATGTTGGGACCACATGCTGCCATATTTCCAAATATATGGAGTCTTGTTTTTTGTACCATGGGTATTTTTTTTTTAAAGATTTTATTTGTTTATTTGAGAGACAGAGTGCATGAGCAGGGGGAGGGGCAGAGGGAGAAGCAGACTCCCCGCTGAGCAGGAGGCCCAAAGCAGGGCTCCACCCCAGGACCCCGAAATCATGACCTGAGCCAAAGGCAGGCGCTTAACTGACTGAGCCACCCGGGTGCCCCTGTACCATGGATTATTTCTAAATACAGTCCTTAGACCATTTGCACTAGGGAAACACCCTGGGCCCCAATACAAATGTTTTGCTCCCTTCCTAAAGGCAATAATCAGGTTCTCGGTGAGGAGCGCAGAATGCGGGTTACTAACAACCCCCCAGGAAATCCTTATGCATCTGATGATAAACAAGGCTCCCACTGTGACAACTGCCAGAGACCTACCTTAGGGATGCCCTGGATGTCTCCATACTTCTCCCCCACCACCGTAGGGCTCTGGGCCATGGGGCAGCTCCCAGAATCATGGGGTAAATCAATTGTTTTTTCTATTGCTTCACTCCATGAGGAGTAAAGTCGCTTTCATCTCCTTGCTAATAAATAGACATTCCCTGAATGAAAGGCTGAGGGAGGGAGCTGGGGATTATTGCGCTGGGAGAGGGTCATTAAATAAAAAGACAGCCACAAAGCCTGAATAAGAAAAGGCAGGGGATACAAGGAATCTCTACCTAATGAAAGTGAAATCTGACAAAGAAAATATTTGATGGCAAAACAATGAATCCCAATGTCCTGAGTGACACTGTCTGGTTTGCAAACAATGTTCACAATCATGATTATATTTTTCTAAGAGAGAAAGTGCCTCCATCCATTGCTTTTAACTGGCTATTGGAAGAGGTAGGTTTGGATCCAAGCGCCCGTCTCCCCCCATGGGGCACGATCTCCTTCCACCACATCTGTGAGTTAACTAAAGGTGAGGGGAAGCCTCCAAGGCACACACATCTCCCTAGATCCGTTCGGCAAGGGGATTCATCATCCATAAATACCATGCCTTCACTAAGTGTAACCCTTCACAATTTCCTGATCTCACCTTTTAACATTCATCAGTTTTTCACTGACCAAAGGCTCTGCCTAAGAACTCACCAAGTACATTCTTTCATTGCTTCTGGTCATAATCCTCACATATTTTGCAATAATAATTCCTGTGAACTTTCGTCACTCTCAGTAAGGCAAGGTTTCTCAACCCCGGCACTCTTGACATTTGGGGCCAGATAACTTACTTGTTGTGGGGAGCTGATCTGTGCATTGTTAGGACATTTAACAGCACCCCTGGCCTCTATCCAGTAGAGGCCAGGAGCATCAAAAGCCTAGTTACAGCAACCAAAAATGTATCCTCCACACACTGGCAGATGCGCCCTGGAGGGGCACAACCACCTGCAGAGAATCATTGCTCCAAGGGTCCAATCTGAGTGCGGCAGGATCCACCCCCCCCCCCCCAGCCCCTGAGGTCTTGTGAAAACCCAGACTGCTGGGCACCACTCCTAGTGTTTCTGATCCTGTAAGTGAGGGGAGGGCCCAACACTGTGCCTTTGTATCGGGCTCCCAGGTAATGTTTCTGCTGCAGCCGCTCATCTGGGACCAGCCAGGGCTGCTGCTAGGGTCACCTGGAGAGCTTTTTAACAAGTTCCAGCTCTATCAGAATGTCCAGAGCTGTGGTCCAGGCATCAGTGTTTTTAAAGCTCCCCAGGGGCTTCCAACATGGGTTGAAAATCACTTGCTGAAGGTTCTCAAACTATTTCTAGAACCCCAAACTCTGTAAGAAACCGGAGATAAAATTTGTCACAGTAGGTGTACATTTCATTTTCACATGACTTGAAGATCCCTCCCTAAAATCACTTAAGAGTAGGAATTCTGGAGCAAAACAAAACAACCCCAAATTATACAGATTGGAGCTTTGGCCTCTACTCTTTCAAAACCCATGGGCTGATACCACCAGGAATTCCCACCCTGGGAATATATATATAAATATATAGTTTTTTTATGTACATATAAATATATATAAATATATATAAGTATATAGTTTTGGGGTTTTTTTATATATATAAATATATAGTTTTTTGGGTTTTTCAAAAGATTTTACTTACTTATTTAAGAAAAAGAGAGAGAGAGCACAAGTGGGTGAGGGGCAGAGGGGAAGGGAGAGGGACAAGCAGACTCTGAGCTAAGCCCAATATGGGACTTGATCTCACTATCCTGAGATCAAGACCTGAGCCGAAATAGTCAAGATTCGATGCTTAACCAACTGAGCCACCCAGGCGTCCCTCCCACGCTACTCTTGAGTAAGTTTAGGATAAGAGAACTACTAAGAAGTCAGGGTCCTTTTGTTGGCTAAAATGCAATAGGAAGTTACTCAAATAAGAGGGATGGAAGCTATTAGCAGAAAGTGGGAGGGGAAGGGACAAAAGCAGAGAAGGAATGTGTTTCATTTCACAGAGAAACAACAGTTCCAGAGAAGGAGATGCCCAACTGGGTGTTTCACCTGAGATCCCCTTACTAGGTGTGTCTCTCCTAACAGCCCCCATGGGTGCCAGTGTGAGCCAGGCTGGAGCCGAGGACCTGCACAGAAGCCCCCCGTGAGCTGACCTGAAGTTACCTTTAGCTCATTATACTAACATCACTTCCTATGGACAGAATGTCCTGCCATTTTTTAGAACGTACGAGGTACGCACTAGCATGCTGACATGCGAGGCATGCGCAACTGAACCAAAAGTACCGACGGCAGGTCCCTGCATCAGCCCCTAACACACTGAGTAAAAGCTTCCTGTACTAACCCCATCGGGAGACAGCGCTTAGAGAACTATCTCCCTGTCTCCTAACTTGTAACCCAAGTAATAAAAAGTCCTTAGCTTTCAGTATTTTCCTTGGGTTGTGTTCAATTTGGTGTACCCCAAGTGGTGACCCCCTTGAGTTTGGTTATACTTTCTTCCCATTCTATTCCCTTCCTATTATCTAAAAGCGAGGGAGGGACATCTTATAATAAAGAAACATGCAAGGTCTACCTTCAAAAAATGCCCAGGTCTCTTTCTTTTTCTCAACGGATGAATCTTCAGAAGCTTTGAGGGAAATCACTGTAAGACAAAAAAGAAATGGCATAGCATGAAGTACAGTAGTTTATGGACCCGGCTCACACTGTGATCCAAAATAATGCCATATGGTGTGGCACTTACATTTATAGAGCAATTTTCCCATTTGCAAAACCACATTTAATTATCACAACTCACACATGAGGGAGAGGTACAATGCCTGACACATAACACTTGAGACACTAGTGGGGGGAAAGTAGGTTGTCTTTGTTTAAAAGCTAATAAATGGCAAAGCTGGGACTCAGTACAGTAGAAGTCCCGCTTGCCCCACATACTTGCCAACTGAAGAGTTCCCCAGTGGGAATTCCAAAAACCAAAACATTTATTTGACCATTTTAGTGGATATCTTTCTAAGTATGGTGCACTTGCTGGGTACCCCTAGAGAGAGGAGCCTGAAGTCATCTAACGGCTCAGGGTCTGTGCTTTGAGCACCACTCCATGCCAGATACACACACAGCAGGAAGCATCTGATTTTGAGATTATTTTGTCCACTTTTAGTCAGTAGCTGATCACTGAACTTATTGTGCCTGCTTTCAACAGTCAGGGAAAGAGAACTGAGCTACACAGTGCAAAACCTTGAACGTTACATGGAAGAGGTTGGAACCATGGAAAGGTTCTGTGCAGTAGGCATACATTTCAGTACACCTGATTAAGCTGACCAAAAAAAGCAAAATGTCAAGGAATGAGATTACTGTCCTACAGAACTTCCAGGATGAAGGAAATGGACACCTGTGTCTACTTGAGAATGTGAAATGTGGCTAGTCCACGTGGGCCTGAGGAATTGAATTTTTAATTTTATTTTAATTTAAATGTATATAGCCACCTGTGGTCCGTGGCTACCACACTGGAGAGTTCTAGAGAAGAGAATCTAGGACCTGAATAGAAAGACAAAGGAGGTTGGAATGGAGATTGTATCAGTATGAGAGGTAAGGCATATGGCAGAGATCGTCTGAAACTTTAACTCTATTTACTGTCCCTCCCAAAAACTTTTGTATTATATTGTCATGAATTTCAATCTGAATTTTCCATCTTTTTGCTTCTCTAGGCCTTATACTGGGTATTTCTTATTGATCCATCTTGCAGATCGCCAGTCTTCCCATCTGATAAACCCATCTATTAATCCTTTTTTATATTTAATTAATTTATTTGTGTTTATATATCCCAGCTCCCAGATGAATTTCTCCAGCTTGTCACCTAATTTTGAAACCATATTAATCATAGTATTTTAATGCACGTGCCTGATAACTTTCATATCTGCATGACTCATTGACCTGTTTCTCTTAACCTGCCTTTGCTTTTGATCCTGTCCCTTGCTATGTCTTAACACTTTTTTTAACTGAATGCCAAACATTGTATATAGAAAACCTTAGAGATGCTAGGCAAAATTTTATTTTCCGGGGTGCCTGTCAGGGTCAGTGGGTGGAGTGTGCAACTCTTCATCTTAGGGCTGTGAGTTCGAGCCCCACATTGGGTGTAGAGATTAGTTATAAATAAGATCTTAAACATTTTTTACTTAAAAATAAAATCTTAAATTTTTTTTTTTTAATTTTCCTGGTAACAAGTTAAAGTAGAGGGATGAACATCTAATCCAATCAGGATTTTAACTGCCTAGAGTCTGGGTTTCAGTTTTATATGGTCTGGACTATCTCAGGTTTGCCCTAACTTCAGGGATCCTCAGTGAGAAGCCTAGAGCATTAAACAGGGCCCTTCCAATTGTTAAAATTGCCAAAAGTTCTGCTTGCCTCCTAGGCATCCTGATTGATACTTTCTGCATAGCTTCTCTTAACTAGTGCTGCTTAAGTATGGTTGAATTTCTTAAAGAGTTAAGTGTCTCCAACAATTGGGGTCACTAACTTCCCTATGCTCTATCTAGACAGTCCTTCAGAGAAAAATTAGGATAGCTAAAATATATATAATTATGTAATACAAATGTATATATGATATATAAATATGTAATTATTACAGGTGAAATGCAGATTTTTTTTTTTTCCGATTTCTAATTTTTCTCAGAAGGAAGGGTTTGGTCTACTATAGGCTAGTCTGCCACTACTGAAGAACTCTCCCATTGGAACCTAAATTCCTTAAAATATTTCTTCTACCTCTATATCCCCATCCCTTGGTAGACTGTTTAGCAACTGCTAAGTGCCTAGTAAATAAATGGATAATCCATTTCTTTCTGAGCGCCCCACAAAGTAAGCAGTCTGGCCCTCTAGGAACGAACTCTTGGTCTTGCATGGAATATTCGATAAGCCACACAATTTGCCCATCATCAGTTCTGTTTAATTTCCCCACCCACCGCTGACTGCCAGAGCAATCAATCAGATTCTTCCTTCAAGAATTTAAACTAAGAAACACAGTATATATGGTTGTTGTGGGCCCTGGGGCTGAAAGAGCCTGTGGACTTCCAGGGGGCAGCCATGTTGGAAAAACAGGCAAGTGGAATGGAGCAGGGGCAGAACCCCCAAGGGGAAACTGGAAGTGAGAGGACTCGTGGAGCTGAGGACTTGATCTTGCTGGAGCTCTAGGCCCCAAGAGGGCTGATGTAATGTGGCCGCTATCCTTGCATTCTATGAGCTCCATATCCTTAAACTATCCCTACCTTTCTTCTGAGTTAGCTTGAAAGGTCTTTCATAGCTTCAACTAATTGAACCTAGGCTAGGATAACCATAAAGAGACCCAATGAAGACAATACAGAAAGGAAAAAGAGATTATCTCCAAGGACCTGAGTTTTCAGGAGATCGAGCATGCCCATCATCATCCCCAGCCTTACCACTCCAAATGTGGCCCACAGCCCAGCAGTGCAGTGTCACCTGGGGGCTGTCAGAAGTGCAGAATCACAGGGTCCCCAAGCCAGACCTACTGGATCAGAACCTGCTTTTATTTTTTTTTTATTTTTTTTTTTTAAAGATTTATTTATTTGAGAGAGTGAGAATGAGAGACAGAGTACATGAGAGGGGAGAGGGTCAGAGGGAGAAGCAGGCTCCTCGCCGAGCAGGGAGCCCGATGCGGGACTCGATCCCGGGACTCCAGGATCATGACCTGA